AACTGCAGCAACTTCATGATTAAAGTGGAGCTTTCCACACAGATACATTCGTTACACATTGTAACCAAATGTGATTTTGTTACCCTGTTATACACAAGCCATTTGTAATACTTTGAATTTATTAATTACTAGTTTGATATTTGTGACAGAGATATTTGTGTCTCAGAGTGAAATCAATGAAACATGAATGATAAAGACTTTTCTCATCTTCTCTGTGACAACACAGCGTGAAAGTGGGAACAATAAACACTAAACAAGACTTAGTGTGGCATACAGTTAGAGTTATTGAGTGTCTTGGAAATATGGCTCGGTCATGAGTTACAGGAAAAGAGAGAAGTGTTCTCAGGAGAAATTTGTTGGAGGAGAACACAAACCCGGAGCAGAAGCTGAGATGTGACCTTTCACCTGCCAGCATGGGAGACCCAGCCGCTGTTACCCTGCCATCTTCTCTGCAAACTTCCACTAACCTCACGCAATATGAAAAACTTGGTTGCTATGGTATCAAGAGGAATTTAAATGATATGCTGTTGTCATATGAAGAGACTTTATGCAGACAAGTTTAGAGCTGGCAGCGGATGCAGCATGTATCTGTCTAATGGATATGATACATTATATTTGATTAGAAAATATTGAGTTTAGTGTTTGGGTATGCACTTAATGTATCATAATAATTAGTTAGGAGCTTGTCTTTCGTACCAATATGAGTGGTATAAATGGCAGTAAAAAATGCACAACCTTTTCGTACCATTTCCTTTTGATTCTCTGGGTATTTGTCTTAAAAGAAGACACTGGCAACAAGCATTCAGACCTCTCTTTTTGAAGTATTTGAATCAAAATGTGACCAATTAAGCTTCAGGTTGTGTGACAACCTTCCAGAAATATGGGAACATTTTCTCATTGTATTCCTTTCAGATTTTGATCTTTCATTAAAATTCTCATAGATGCTCCTCATCTGCCAAGTGTGGTGTTTCCGCTCCAAGAGGGTATGGAGTATATCGAAGGAGGTCGTTCGTCAGTGATTCTGCGGTTATTTTTAACCATCCCCCGTGTGCAGGTCTAATCAGAACAGGATGTTCCTCATCAAATTAACCAGGAATATATTTTCATGAAATGAGACTGGGTCTGCACGTATACCCTACCACGATGTAGCAGACTAAGGTCAATTACACAGGAGGGTTTCTGGGGCTTAATGCAGAGTTCAGTATCGCAATTTTTCTACTAAAAGCTCAGAACCAGCGGAGGTTAAGCTTATTACAGTAGTTACCTTGTAATGAGGCAATAACCCACTGACACAGTCATATTTGATTTTAAGGAAAAGTATAAGCACAGTTCTTTTTTCTTCTTCTTGTTTTATACTTTTTTATAGAAACCATAACAAAAATATGGAAATGAATCTCTTCCTTTGTCTAGTAAAGTCCAGTACATTGTTTGAAGTGGACCTTTAAGCTAACATCTAAGTGTTTAGTTTAACTGCATATTGTATCAGTTACCTGTGACAACCCTGTAGCTAACTATTTTGTTGTAGATCTAAAGCCATTCATTGGAATAAGACATTATATAAAAGCAGCTACATAGTAAAAAGATTCATTCTGTAACCTGTGCATTTTAGATCTGTAGTATTTATTAGAGTTATGGCCCAAGGTTGCCCATCATCTTTCTATATTCTACAACTACGAGTCAAATCATATTTATGACATTTCCTCCTGCTTGTTTACAAATGGAGTTTCATCTCGCAGTACCCTAAGATCAGTAAAAGTGTCATGTTTGGGTAAGAAAACAGGTATAATTGTTATGACACATCAATACGTTGTGAAGAGCAAACTCTCCCTGTTTAAAATGATTTTGCAACAAGTTGACAGTTAAAAAGTCACTCCAGCTGTGAGGAGCCTCTTCAGAGCTCATTTACATTTCAAACAGGGACACATTGCTTCAGGAATTTCTTCTTGGGTCGATTTAGATGGACTGAATAAGGAGCCTCACTCTTCGAAACACTTCAGGCCCATAGTGTTCCATATATTCAACAGCTGAAATGCAGTATGCTCAGTGGTGGTTCTATTCAAAATGCTCCACATCAAATTAAACCTCCTAAGCATTGTCTCATGTACCGTACTGCCACTAAGCAGCAAAAAGACTTGGAGATCTGTGTGCATGACACCACATTACATTCTTCAGAGGAAAAGGAGATGGAACGAAATGAAATGAGATTCAGCCAGTGTTTCCGAGGCTCTTCCACACACACAGAGACAGAATGAGAGAGTCTCAGTATGTTTCCCATCTGTGTGACACTCCGTTCCGGGTTATTGGCTGGTTTGCGCTGCTGTGTTTCTCCTCGAGCACCAGCTTGGCATGTCAGGCACGAGAGAGTTCTGCTTGTGTACCCCTTTTATGTATTCATCTTGTACCCGGATCTCCTATCCCCATCCCCTTTTTCTACTTATTGTATCTCACCCCTTCTGTTTCTACCCGCTATCCACTTCTCAGTTTATTCTTGCCTATCCTCTCACCTCTCCAGGGTTGCATCTTCCCTCTCTGCCCCCTCCCTCTCCCCTGCCTTCTGTCTCTCTATCTTCTCCTCTCCTGGGTTGACAGTGTGGAAAGTTGATGAATCAGACTGCAAGTGACAGTCTGGCATTTGCGTGAATCTGATGTGGTTAATATGGCGCCTGCTGACAGCGCTGTGGAAATCGTTCACAGTGGAGGAGCACTGAGACACAGCTACACTATGGCCTAGCTGCCCTCTATCACTCTGCTGCTCCAATGTCTGCGTGGGAGGAGCATGTGTTTACCTCTGCAAGTGTGAGTGCATGGACAATTTTTCCTTGTGGTCAAAGGTCAGCAGCATAAACGGCCTCCCTTTTCCTCTGCCCACACATATCATCCTTTCTCTAACAGCTATTCCGTCAAGGGTGCACATCCCCAGGAGAGGGACAACCAATGAGCTTCACTGGATGAATTAAAGTGATACTCACATTCACCTCCCCTCATACAGTAGGCTTACAGGAAACAAAAGTGCTCACAAAAGTCATGTTGCATATTGGCTTACTTTGAATAAGGTCATTTTCCACGAAAAAAATGCTCAACTAAAACGTATTTTATTTACTCTGACACTCAATCACTTACCTTGAATTTAGCAATATGTTTTTATTTCCTTTCTTGCATAAGTCATACTAACATTTTTAATTCAAGTAAGGTTATTGATAACTTGATATATTTGAATTTTCTTAAATATGTAAATGTTTTTCTATTCTTCTAAATGTATATATTGTTTAAATATAGTTGTTCAGGGTTTTCCCCCTAAAGACTTGCTTTAAGAGCATATTGCATATTTAATTAAATAAACACATCATTAAAATTAATCCTACATACTAAATAGATTTCTTAATACACTTTGAGGCCAAAGGTCATGCAATATTCAGAGAACAATTTCTCTTTTATTTGTGTAATATATTTGTGAGTCATTTTTATGCCTTTATTATAGATTGGACAGTGTCTCAATGATGGGCAATTATGGGGGGAGGGGTGGTGGATTCCATATTAAGGTCAACAGCTGACCTCGCACGGGGGGGATTGTGGTTCATGTTTGGCCCCTTATACCTCTATACCAGCTACTCATTTGATTCAATTTAATTCTAAATCCTACAAAAATGTGTAACCTTTTTAATATTGTTTTGTTGTAAATGTTTGTCTATTTCTGCATTAACTTATTGTGTCAGTGTGCTGAGATTCTGTACATATTTGTGCATGCATGAGCATCTGTGATACACACCAAGATGTGTGTGTGTGTGTGTGTGTGTGTGTGTGTGTGTGTGTGTGTGTGTGTGTGTGTGTGTGTGTGTGTGTGTGTGTGTGTGTGTGTGTGTGTGTGTGTGTGTGTGTGTGTGTGTGTGTGTGTGTGTGTGTGTGTGTGTGTGTGTGTGTGTGTGAAAAACATATGGTGAGTCAGTGTGTAGGAGTTGAGCGCCAGTGAGTCTGTGGGAGGAGGGAGAGTGGATGGAGAGAGGAGAGAGGATTCAGGTTGTGCACCAATAGGTGGCACTCTACCCTTTTGTGATTGGCTACGGTGAGTTAGACCGAGCCAGGTCTGAGAACGAATGCTTTTGCATAGGAAAGGAACAGGAAGTTGGATGATAAAACTTCCTTTTTTTGTCCTAGGACCCAGGTTTGTCCTGCCTGCTAGTGTGTAGAGGGAGGAAAGCAGAGTGAGAGGAGAGTGTGAAGTGTGGGGTTGGGGGTGTATTTACATCACTTTTGGTGAATGAAAGAGAGTTAACGCTGCAAGGGCTAAATGCATACATTTATGTGTGCCATTTGATGTTTTAAGTTACAAAAACAAAAACAACTACTGACTAGTTTGTAAGGTTCAAATGCAGAAAGTAAGTGTGTAACTGTAGAGAAATAGCTGCATTAACAGGGTTGTGTGTGCAATGCAGTCTGACTGAATGCCAACCAACACGCAGTATCATAAGCTGTCGTTAACCTTTGTGTTACCCACTCACATATTAGAACATATTGAAATTGAATTATATAAATGTGTGAGTCACCTACCAAAACCACATCCCTACAGTTCTGTCATCATTCCATATCACATCATTAAACTACAAGCAATGGAACCAGTAAAATAATCACATTTAGTGTACAGTTGCATTCATGTGTGAAATAGGAATCATTGGTATTATACTTGGTGATTTAAAATAGAACTGGTTAGATTTACCATTGTGATCGTCTGCACGAGGATGGAATGTAAACATTATCCAGAGATGTAATTTAAGGCATCTGTTTTGATAAAAAATAGTTCCTTACATAACATGTCATATAGAGAATATTGTGGCAATAATGCAAATAAAATGTCTTGCTCAGAAGGGCTACAGCATCTTCAGTCTTACGACAAAGAATGTATATTCAAAATCGCACAGCAAGCAGAGCCTCAAAGGGTACTTTAAAATAGTATGTTTTACTGCACAGTTGCAGTTTTATAAAACAGTGTAAGAGAGAAATATATATGTACATAATCTGGCTTTATTGAACATAGTAATATACAATCTTCTGGGAAAGGTGTGTAGGAGTTCATTTATTAACAGGGGACTAGAGACCTGAATATGCAAATATTGTTTTAAGTTGCAATAAAAACAGGCCTTCCTGATGACAATGAACACTAATGGAGAGCAATGTGTACAAGGAACACATGTGGATGAACTAAACAGCTATAAATACAAAAGTTGTTGGTCTGTCATTCAAACCAGTACAAATAGTCGATGCAGTGCATCTGGTCATCAAGCAGGGTCATACAGTTTGCATACAAATAGAAACTTACAGAAATACAAAATATACACATAAAATAACAATGTAGAGCATTCATTGTCTTCTAAATTGTGTCAACAATTTTCAGGCAAGTGTACAAGTAAAACAAATAAAAATAGATTAACGCTGGCTAAATGAAAGAGCCCAATAAAGCCCATGCCTGTAGAATGAAACATAATGTCTAAAGGGCAGTTCATGGCCACCATCACCATGGCATTATATTTCTATATTATATGTAGCTTCTACATAACCTTCAACATTCAACAACTCGGGCCCTGACACACCAAGCCGATTTCGGCCATCGATAGATGTCTGGCCGTCGATGAGCGTCCTGTCGCCCTACTCAGATTGCTGTGTCCCGCACCGTCGTGTCTTTTCGGCCGTGCCGACACCTTCCGCTGCCGATTGACCAAGTTGAATCGGCAGCGGAGGCTGTCGGCAAAAGAAATCACTCTGATTGGCTGTTCAGCTTAGCGAATCAGTGCATGAGAAGCGAAACGGAAGTGAGGTACGCAAACAAACGATTAAGAAGGCAAACATCAGACGGCTATTATTTGTCTCTTCTTGCTATCTGCTTCCACAAGCAACAGTCCAAGGGCTGATACCGCCAGTACCGCACTAAACATGTTTTCGATGGACGAGAGTGAAAATGGAACACACACGCTATTTGTTGTTTGTATATCACGCAGTCTGTCTTCCGGGTGCCTCTTTTGAATGACGAATACACACTACCTACCGCAGCCTGCTGGTAAGGAGAGTTATTGCCACATGCGTAGTGCGTACGTGCTACTTGGCCGTCGGCTGAAGTCTTTGCGGTGTGTTCCAGTGTGACTGTTTGGCCAAGACGCAGGAGACGTGAGGCAACACAACAGTCGTGTTCCGTTGGGACGTGTTCTTTGGTGTCAGTTTGGTGTGTCAGGGCCTACCACGTATAAAGAGTTGGTAGTCATGCAAAAGTGTGGTGGTGAGATGGAGCTGAGTAGCTGGGCTGGGGTCAGAAATCCGATTATTCAGGTCACTGATAAAAGCAAACAAGCTCAATCATATACAACACACACACACTCCTGTGCACACACATCCATACACACCCTCTCACTGCAGTTTATTTATGTGCAACTATTACACAAAAGTTGATTCTACCAGCAACACACTGAGTCCTCACTGGAGGCGGGGGGTCGACGATGTTCTGAGGCTCCGCTGGGGTTAAGCCAGCAGTTGTGTTGCAGTCCGAGTTCACAGGCTGGGGCCTGACATACAGGGCAATGGGGCTGAAATGCCCCGTCTTATCAGCCTCGGCCTCAAAGACAGAGGGGATGAGGGTGATGAATGAAGTAGAGAAAAAGGGAGGATACAAAAACAGTTCATACAGCCTGACACCATTGTTATTCTTATCCTTTGGTGTGCATTTTGAAGAGAAGAAGAACATGCAACAACAGACCTTAAAATGAACCAATCATTGGCACTCCATAATTGACACCAGGCCATGGTTGGACGTCTTTTCAACGCCAACTGAGCTGATTTAAAGTACAAAAGTAGTCAGTCCTATTACATCAGTTTTTCATCCCGGAGTTTGCCTTTTTATGTGCTATTAGCCTGACCCTTAATCTACTTCAGCTATACCATAGTTGTAATGTACAGATATTGTAGGAAGCAACATTTTTAATATCCATGGCACAGGATTGTAATTCAAGGGTTTGGCTGAATTGCCTCTTCTGGCAATAGAGTTGCTCATTTGCAACCAGTTCATGAAAGATTCAACAATATGGTCTATATTGTCTTATATTTTATATAACATTGCATATTTGTTTTCTATAAAAACGTGTTCATGTTAATGATGCTTTAATCATGCATTGTTAATTCATTCGATCAGTATTGTTAAATTAGCTATACCATGCTTGTCTGTTCACAAATGAAAGGGCTCATAACAGATATACATAATTACAACAAAATCGAAGTGGACAAACAATCCTAACACAATATTAAAGAACCAGGTTCTTGTACAATTACTTGTAGGGCAGTATGTGCAAGACTGAATAAGAACACAGGGTTAATTTACACTAATTGTTGAGTTTGTTTTAACATAACGTTTGTGTGAATTGACCATTTTCAGAATCGAATATCCACTGATAAAAAAAAAAAAGTAGCTGTACCGTTTTTCAAGACTACTTTCATCTTTTGGCACCGTGTGCAGGTTTTCTATCTCAATCGGTGCCAGTGTTAATAAGAGACACCTTTAATAAGAACATCCTCTTGGATGATGGATGTTATGAGGAAGCAAACACACATGAGCTTATATTTAGACACCACATGGGTTTAACATGTCACCATCTCTACTTAATTGGAAAATATGCATAATAATATGCAAATCCACACAAGTAGATTATTATGAATATGTTTTGGCATGTTGTGTAATTGATGATGATAGGTTTAGGATTCTATTTTTGCCGGTTCTTTAAATGAAAACGATCCCAGAGCTGTCATCAAGAAAATAATTGGCAACCAGTAGAAGAAACCTTTTTACTTCAATTAACAACACTACAATAAATAGTTACAATAAAAATGAAAAGGATCACAATGTTAGCGTATAAAGGCTTAAATCTTCTCTGGGGTAAGATTGGCTGTTGCCAGGATACAGGTTACAGGTTACTGGATGAAATACTAATAAGTATTTCTGCAGTAGTGGGTTCACTGTAGTGGGTTTACTGTGTGTTATGTTTCCCCCACTATTTCCATTGTGTTTACATTCTTAGAGGGGGACGTAACAGTTACACTACATACATTTGGCGCACTTAAACTAGAAAATGTGTTTTAAGAACCATTTTTCCTAGTGTTCCTAAAGTCAGGTACTGTGTCTTCTGTAAAAAAAGACATTTGCGATACCAGATTGATTACAGTTTTGAGCTGAAACGAGCTATTCTATGATAGTCATTTAATCATGCCGTGAGGTTTGAAAGTTTATTTCTGTCTATACTGTAGATAAACAGGTTGTCAGCACTTCCTGAAAACATTTACAGGTGCTGGACCAAAAAATCCAACTAGGCAAGAATAAGACAAAGATCTGCACATTGTATTAAAAGGCTTCCAGAAATCTAATCTGACAATGCCTGAGGAAGATCTGTGTTATATCGAAACGTTGCACAATTAAGATGTGGGAGCTTTTAATACAGCGTGCATATCTTTTGTTAATTTCTGTCTGAAGGTATTTCAAGACACAGGAAATCATGGAAAGGGAGTTAAGCGAGTTGCACGTGTGCATGTTTAGTTGTCTATATATTTCGTCATTATACATCACATTTCACTGTCATTATTTGCATGTGGCAGTATAGATTCAGCCAGGCCAATGTATTCGTGGAACACATCATAAAACCCCTTTGAAGATTTTGCCTCACATCCCTTGTACTCCCATCAGTGAAGGGAAATTAAGCCAATGAACCAACAAATAGCGAGTGTTGTGGGGAATGAGTTCAGTCAGTCACACTGGATCCAGTCAGGACAACGGGTTCACTCATTCCCTCTAGTGTGCTCTAAATGTCATGGATAAGAATGTGTCATTTTAAAAACACATGCACAATCACTATCATGTGTGGAACTGCATGCTTGTCGCAAGCACACATCAATTAAAACATACAACAAAGTAACAGATCTACCTCTGGTTCTACAGCCTAGTTAGCTTGGCCATTGCAACTTGTCCCGTCCACTCAGACAGGGGATATAGGATGGAGAGTGAAAAAGTGTCATACGTTTTTCTAAATATTGGGGTAAATAAACATCAAAAGGTAAAGACAGAGAGATGCAGTACCTGTTTGAAATGTTTCCAGAGCCTTGGGCTCTGAGCTCCTTGGTCATGTTGGCAATAGGAGCTGAATCATCTGTTCTCAAAACACTCACTTTCCAGGGGAGTGCTTAAAAAGAAATACAATGCACTGAGGTGGCATAAATGAATGCTTGGCAAGGGTCTGTCATCTTTTTATTGTGTGTAAATATGTGTGTTTTCTCGTGCATGTGTGTGAAAGTGTGTGCGCGTGTGATTTCCAGAAAGACGAACTTGTGGCTTAAACAAGGTCCCTGTAAGACAGAGAGAAGAGAAAGAAAGGTAGAATTAGTGTAAGAACGGCAACTGCGGACAATGTGTGAGAGAGGGGGAGCCTGGTATGTTGAGTAATTAAAGGGTTATATTTTACCATATTCAAACATACAGATATATGCAAACACCTCCACACACACCTACTCCATTTCACATGCGTCCACATCTGCCTGCATAACACACATTGGTATGATGTAACAGCATGCTCCAGTTCCGTCTTGCTGTGAAGGTTGGCATCCATTCCAGGCTGAATTTAAGATTTGAATTTATTCAGTCCCTCGCTGCCAATGTTGTTTACAAAGACCTTGTGAAACTCGTCTAGGAACCTGTGCCAGGTAGTTCACACCTCCACCTCCACCTCCTCCGCGTGATGTGTTAGAGCAGGCGACACTTTTGACAGCACTGAGAGCCCCTTTCAGCCAGAGAACCTATATGTAAGCTGGCAAAAAATTCCAACTTTCTGTGTTGTTTGGTAATTAGGTAGGTTGGGAAGTCATGTTTCGATATAATTGGTACTGTGTCTCTGTGCTTTAAAAGGCAAACATGGGCCTACTTTTTCTTTAGTTAAATTGAATTTGCAAATTAAATCTATTTCTCAAATGTTTGCACTGCAGTATGTGTGCTTGTATGATTAGCTAAGACTGACTGTGGGCTGGTGAAGTAGCCCGCCCATATGCATACAATGGCTACAAGTCTAGATTTGATTAACACAAACTAGTTTGCTTGATTCAAATATATAAAAGGTTTAACACACATTGTATGTATATGCAATTGGTTATTATAGATAAATGCATAGAGGCCTATAAAAGTCTCAAAAACCAACCAGTGCAAACAAATAACTTAGGGCAAATGTTCAGTCTTATTTGTCATGTTCAATTATTTAACCTTTTGTCTGTACTTGTCTGTAGGTACATGATTACCTCTGAGAGTTATAGGTTCGCCCTGTAAAATGTGTTATGTATTTTGTGAGTTGACTATCCCAAATGTTGCCATTTTCAAATATATAAAAATCTGTAGTTTTGTATTATTGTTTCGTTTCATAATCCTCTTTGCAAATGTTGGTAGTCCGCCAGATGCTGTCAATAATTTCCGAGAGACCCATAGCTGCAGAAAATTACATGTATCAAACTGAAATATTCTTGTCATTATATGAAGTTTAAATAATATTACTGTATCATGTAGTGACTTTAACATGTTGTTTCCGACAACCTTAAAATCATTTTAAAACACAAGCCAATCAGAAACACTTAATGTCCTTGTCAATTATATACATTTATAAACGTGTGAATTGTATGCATTTGATTGTTGACAGGCTTTCCAATATCAGTCACCAATACTTGTATGCTCGGAAAAGGCCCACCAGAGAGTAATAACGTATAATTGTATCCAGTGTGACTTTAATGAGGGAGCAGTGTGCAGTGTCTGTCTCTAGGGAACACTGGCAGGTCACAGAACTGCTGACAGGCTCATATTGCTTATTTGAGTGAGTGAACTTTTGATCTTTTGGTGATGGGACCATTTCTCTTTAAACGAGGCTGCATTAACTGTATTTGCCAAAGGAGCCAGATGGTCAATATGCATATATGCTGTCGGTAAAGAAGACTGGTTGTCGAGACACATTCCACTGAGACACGATTGCTCTTTGCTCTTAAATGACTGCATGATTAATGCTGCATAGATGAGGTGGAGGGACACCACTCTGCAGACCCTGTTGGGCTGTCCTGTCTTATCAAAGAGGAAGCAGAATACAGGCAGGTCACCATGGGAGAGGGGGAGATTGGGGGAGGGGGCAGCAGAGAGAGTGAGATCGTGTGACACTGAGATTAAGTGGGAAACCAATTGAGCGTGAGGGATAGTAGGAGAGAGCATAGATATGTGAATGGAAATACAACTTTTGTGATAACAACTTGTAAATGTTCACATTTCCACACTTGAGTAGGCACACATCCATCCATCCATGTAAACAGGTAGATGTGTGAGAAATGTGTGAATGCAAACACACACAAACAAGGTGTCAAAGGCGGATGTAGCAATTCCCATGAGGCCGCCTAGAGAAATATGATAGATAGGGGATTGCTGTTTATATCAGGTGTTCTTCGCTCCCTGTCTGAGTGGCCTGTAATTGAATGATCATTATACCAAAGTTATGGCTACGGCCCCGCAGTCGAAAATAGGAATTGAGTTGGAAACAGCATTTAGCGGTTTTGATTTATGAGCAACAATAGGGAAGTTGTTTTTCAAGCTTGGCACTCTGACGGGCAATAAAGAGGGGTAAGGCTTATCGCCTGCTGTAACCACTCTAACACACCAGCAAGTCCGCCAGCCAGCCTGCAACCAGTCAGTCAACCAGCTGGGGCCCTCCATGGAAGGAAGTGTTTTCAGCAAATTTGTTTCCTTCATGTCCCGCCTTGAATGGTGCTATTCATTAAAATAGCCTCCAGTCGGTAGGCACTGCTGCCATCGCACATTTATACACTTGTTTGCTTGTATCCTCACATAAGTAGACACGCACACAAATCCACCTGCGCACACACACACACACACACACACACACACACACACACACACACACACACACACACACACACACACACACACACACACACACACACACACACACACACACACACACACACACACACACACACACACACACACACACACGCACACACACTAATATATACGCTTTTCTTCTGGTCCAGCTCATCTTTGCAGGAGGGCTTTTTGTAATGAAAGCAGAGCTACAAAGAGAGAAAGGGGTCTGTGACATGCACTGCTTTCAGTTGGGGCCACTGGAGCTGTATATGTATTTATCTGGAGTGAAAAGGACTGCTTCCTTTCATTTAATGGATGTGATATTTGGATTAAGGTGGATATAACTCATAATTAAGGGTTCAGTAGTGTGGGTGGTGCTGCATAAAAATAACTATGAAATGTAAAGTGTTAATTATGAAAGTGTGAAGCATTGTACGGAGGACTGTGATTTAGCCTTGCAGGAATGCTCCTCTATCACTAGAGCTGGTTACTGCTAAAGCTTTGTGCAGATTTGCCGTTCAGCTCCATTGTTGTAATCTTATCTCTTGTAACCTACACCTAGTCACTTGAATTCATCTCCATTAGCCAAATCTATTTTTGAGTTATATGCAAATCTGGACAAGCCATACTCCAGTCCAGAGGGCTTTTGTAATAATGCATCTTACCATCATTATCCCAGGCTCACGCAACTCCCTCACCCACACGGATCACTGCTCTCTCATCCATACTGATCCTTCAGGGGTAATATTGATATTGAGTTCAGATACATTTTACAGTAAAAACATGTATAACGCCTTCTGTAAGTTCCGCAAGACTGGAAGAACGCTGGCTTAGATTGACATTATGCATTTATTTTGTTGAAAATAGAAAGAAAAAAGGAAAATATGTATCAACACTATATTTAATATATACATCATCATTATATTAACTAGGACCTTGACTTAATTGTTGGTTGATGCAGTCATTTTGTAAGTTATAATGAACTCAACTTTGTATTGTACCTATCCATCTGTGGTGTGTGTGATAGATGTTGTCCATGTAAAACATCTTGAATGTTTCAGTGAGAATGATGAAACCACAATCAATGGCCGGGACAACCTGTGGTTGTTCGTGTTCTTGCATTGACTGGTGAGCTTTATGTTCAAACACCGCTGGGATTTGCAGTTTTTAGCCCTTGGGCTCTGTGTTGTATCACCTCCTTGATCCTTTCATCACTTCCCCTACTCCCTGCACTTGTTCAGTCATACACTTGATTGCATGGAGACATTCCTGTGTATTACACCCACATTCTTTTAGAAACATGCATGCAAGCTATATTACATGTGTTTTTCCATATTTCTGCTTCCCAGGGCCTGAAGGCCAGCACTCTGCTGCCTACATGAAGTTTGTCAGGATGGGCTTCTCGCTCACACTCCCTATCAATTAATAAAAACTGTTCAGACAGTGTCACTAAGAGGGTTAGTCACACATAGCTATCCCAATGCCTGCCAACACTGTCATGTCATCTGGTTTGTCTCAGCTCAGGCTTTAGGGCTATTCCCTATAGAAGCCCATGAGTTAGGAGGGTTGGAGTGCATTGATAGTGTGCACGTAAATGCACAACCAGGCATATGCAGCTGTTTAGAGCATATGGTTAAGACTAATCAAACACTTGAACTTGCATACACACGTGCATCATAACAGAGCTTTCTCCTTTAACGCGCATAACCCATAGCACTCTGACAAAGTGTCGAATCTTACAGGATGCAGAAAGGTGATGTATGAGAGCAACATCCCTTGATATTATCACTACAGTGTGATTCAATCCGTTGACAGACATATTGCTTTGGCAATAGCAACGCCATGAAGAGTGCTGTGTGTATCTACAATCAGTTACAAATGTGAGTCATATTTATGTCTCAGTTTATCATGTGCATTTGAAAGACACCACTTGTGAAAATGACATGAATGTGCCTTTGAGCCTTCACAATTCAGCCTGGCAATGACAGTAGCTTTATTGCATGTTTGCTGTTTTAAATTACATTCTTTATATAGCATGATGTGATATAAACAGTGCATCAGATATCATAGATATTACAGTATGTACTTAAATTGTTCAGCAGCAAACATAAAATTGTGGTCAGGGTAAGGATTTTGATAGCATTTTATTGTCAGTATTTAAACTCTTAACTACTCTAGTAAACGACTCAATGTCTGTGAAATTGCCCCTTCAGGATGAACAGTTCTACCAGTCAGCGTGTGCTTTCTTGCCATCATTGGGCCTATATTCACTGTGTACAGAGCATGCATGCAGGGTATGTGTACTGCAGCCCGTTGGCAGTGTACAGTGGTAGAAATGACAAATACATAGCCTGCCAGTTTTGCCTTGTGGTCTTGTATCGCAATTAGGACTTAACTACTGTACCAAGCCTGTGACCAACTCTTAAACTCTGCTGACGCATTCGAAAAAGCCATATGGTGATTAATTAGAGCTGAATGTGTAGGAGCTTTGTTTGGCTGCTAAATAAAATATGCACTACCAGGCGGCTAAACATACATACAAAAACATAAAAACAAAGATACATAGTGTACATTCCCATACTCCCCACCATCACACACACACACACACGCACGCACATTACATTACATGTTACTTGTTAGACGCTTTTATCCAAAGCGACTTACATACTCAATACTGTGGGCAATCCCCACAGGAGCAATTTGGGGTGAAGTGTCTTGCCCAGGGACACAACGACATGCTGACTGCAGTGGGGTTTGAACCTGTGCTCCCCTGATCCGAACACCAACGCACTAACTCACTGCGCCACAGCCTCCCTACATACATACATACATACATACATAATAATGTAAAGACATACTCACATAACATCAAAACAATAATAGCTTATAGTACACTATATATATGATGTTGTCTGCCTTGTTTTCTTGTTTTTGTTCATTCAAATGGCATGCACCAACAAATAGAAATAATCCAAGCAGTGTTTTCTCATACTGTATATTGCCATTTACATGAATGCCCATTTTTTCTGTTAGGCCTTATTTTATGGGTGGCGCTGTTGCGAATGTTCCACAATATACATTTGATGTAGTTTGGAAAACCATGGGTTAAAAAATACTCAGTATGCTGTGACTGTACTGTGATAGATTGTGGTTGCGTGGTGTAGTTTTGTGAAAGGCCTAACTGTCAAAAATACTGGCCATGATGCATGTGCCAACCAGTATAGCCTAGTTGATAGCCTTAGCATGAAATATTGTATGTTACGTTTTGGGACAAAGATACTGAGGCACTTTAACATACGTTTGGAACTTTTGGATATGTTTTGTAGCCTGGTTGAGGTTGTGCTGGATTCCTCCAAACACAGTATTTTCAGTTAAGAATTGGAATGTTTGTAAGAACCATGCCATCTGTTCACCTTGACATCTCCATTGTGTCCTTAGTGAGATAGACGATCCAGTAGACCAGGTTAAAGGCGCCAAAGGAAAGAGGGAAGAGGATGCGGGAGTATTTGTCAATGATGCTGGTGCCGGTCAGAACGTTGTTGTCTGGTACAGCCGAACCCTGCTGCAGGAAGGCTTGGGCATTGACGGGTGGGTTGGGAAATGTTTTGGAAGGCCGTTCAAACAGAAGGGCAGAGTTCATCCTCTTCTTCAGCACATTGCTCGCATCCACCTTGGAGAGGCAGAAAGGAAATGTATAGATCTGTTAGAGGCAATTGGCATTAAAGAGAATGTTTAATATGTGGGTATTCAGAATAAAAGTGGTTCTGTACTTTTTCCAGAGGGTCAGAAAATCCTCATATGTGCTTAGAATAGTAATACTGATTCTTCATGGAAAAGAACAAACTCTCATAATTGAATGCATATCAACACATTACAAACAACTAAAGAGAAAATTGAAAATTCAGCCTGATGTCGGTGCCATATTTGCTCAGCTTTGAGTTGATTCGCGCATGCGGGAAATGTGTGTTTCTGCCAGAAACTGTCTGGAATACCAATGAGTACCACAAGTAATTAAGCTTAACAAAGGAAATCAATGATGTTTGTTTTTGATTTCATGTGTTTTTAATCAACCCGTTTCATTAAGATTGTAACAGTTGTGGGAGGCAAACAAAACATATTAAACAAAAGAGGCTCGATACATATTGACACATGGTTATCGCTATGCCTCATCAACTTTCAGTAAACCAGTGTGATCTCAACACATGCTCCCTGATCCAATAGCAGTGAATCAGCTGCACAATGTGTACAGTCTCTGTAGGTAGAGTCAAAGGAAATGAGAGAGAGACTGAAAGAGGGCCATCTCTTTTTCTCACCGCAAAAAATGAATGAAAAATGAATGCAAGACTGCAGGTTTATTGGTAAAACAATGTTCACATATTTTGTACCTTTACAAATGGATTTATTACTAAACAACCTGACCATTTAAGTTCGATTGTGAGGTTTCAGAAAATGTATAGTTCACTGACTGCTCCAGCTTGCATGTAACGGGGCATTTTCAGCTCTCAGTGGATGTTTTTTGCTGAGTACAATCTTGGAACAAAAACTGAACTTGTGAGATTTAGGCTGGATTTGTGCGGCTACAGGATTACATGCTCATACAGGTTGAGAAACTATCAAACTGTTACAATCCTCTAGCTGAGGGGAACACTTCCAAACCTGCATTCTGTCCAAGCTAAAAATAAAACTAGATTAGTTCTGCATATAACAAAATGTTTGCGAACACGATTGTTTCCCCCACAAATAAATGTACAGTTTACTTCTTGTTTGTTAAATGATAAAATGATATTCTAGTGTTATTAGTTTGGCAGCTATCTTCAGATGTACAACTGATGACTTTTAACATTGCTGATTAGATTACATTGAGAAATCTTTTCATTTCTAATCCGTATGAAGGTCTGACTTCATGATCATAACCATGGAAACATGAAACAGAGAAAAACAGCAGTGGAGGTCTATAAATAGAGAGTGTCGTATGTTGGTTAATTACAGGACAACATTTTCTACTGAGAAATAGAGCTGCAAATATGTGCCAATTGACAGAAAAAAAACACCAAATAGGAATATGAAATATTAACATGTTTGGCTTTTCTCCCAGTTCGATATTATATTTAACTGAATATCTATACGTATTGGGCTTAGGTAAATCGGTAAATCGAGAAAATATAATTTTTGTATTGATAGTAAAAGAAACCAATATACAATACATTTCCTTCCCTTTGAAACATGGTGAAACTGTTATCATGATATCGCTGAAACACAATCAATTGAACTGTGGAATAGTACTGATAGTTTCCTAACTCTGACAAAAGGAGAGAAAGACCTAGAAAGAGAGTGACAGATAGATAGAGATGGAATGGAAAGAATGATGCTACACAGAGAGATAAAAACATATTCGAATCTATTCAGACTTCATTAGTGTGAGACTTTTATTTAAGGAACTGCGCTCCAGTTCAACAAGTAAAACAATAGTATCACCGTTTCATTCTTGATAAAGGCTTGAGTTGAAACACAATGGTTGCTATGGAAGGTCCTCTCAGTAGAAGTAAAACACAACATTAGATTGTGATGTGTTAAACCCTCTAGCAACATGACAGGGGGGAGGGGCTTTGAGTTGGTCCTGCCAATCTAACAGCTGGTCATCCAGACGTTAATCTACTCATCATTTAATTACAATGTGTGCCCCTAACTCTGAGTTAGGTGTGCTTCCTTGTGTTGAATAACTGCTCATTTTAAAGGGAAACATATTTGAGTTCAAACAGGAATTTGAACCTGGAGGTCTATTTGTTTTCTATTGTAACAGGATGATGTCCAAACCTCCAACAACACCAGGCTGCAGCTTTACATGTTAGCTCCCTATCAGTATAATGGTTCCTTTTAAAGTCAAAGATCATGCTTTAAGTACATGTTGGGAGTGTGGCCTGTGGGGCGTACTATGCACATCTGATCTGATACACAAGCTATTTTTGTTAATGACAACAGGCTGCCTTGGCTTCTTCCTGGTCAAATCCCAGAGGGATCAGCTCCACTGCTCAACTTTCAACAGACCCACTTTGACAGGGGAGGATGGGTGTGGCTATTAATGTGAATGGGTGGGCGGTCTCTCCATCTAAGTGTGTTTCATAGTGTGTGTGTAGGCGTGCATGTGACATAAGGTTACTCTAACTGTGCACTACCAATATGGCATGGGAGTAAGTGCATGTAGGTTCATCTATGTGGGTGTTCAGTGGGTGTTGAGTGGGTGTGTGGATTATAATTTGACGGGGAAGATGTATATGTGTATGTAAATATATAAATGTGTTTTTAATAAGAAGGTATCCTAGAAACAGCTATAGTGCTCTTTATACATTTTTTTAGGTTTAGAAAGTAAGAGAACAAAAATTGCTTTGGCTATATGGCTGGAAATACAAAATCCACAGATGTTTTTATGAATTTAAGACCTGATCATCATCCAAAAAATGTATCCAAGATCCTCTTATTATCATATCACACTCCATATACAGTGGAGAAATCTCAGGATTGTTGAATGACATGCAGGAAAAAGACTACTTTTACTTCTGATTCTGAAAGAAATGTTGCTTTCTTGTTAGTTAAACAAGATCACACTCCAGATGTAACTCTAGTATAATACAAGCCCCTAGCTTCTTATGTGATGGAATTTCAACGCTGATTTTTCCTCATTCCGGGCAGGCAGATCATATTTATGAGGTTGTGAAATTACATTTGAAGATGCAACCTCCTGCTGGTTAACAAGTCAAAAAATACATTTATATTACCCATAAGGTTTTTGCAAAGAGTGTTGTGTGACAAAGTCCCAGGATAATGTATTGGTGCTCAGGCTATGGATGAGACTTACAAAACTTTGATGTAGTCCATCTATAGTGTATGTAAACTAGACATACACATATATAATTATTCCTATATATCAATTATTCATTATATCATATATATCATATATATCTGATCTACTGTACAGTTGGTAGTGGGAGGCCTCAGGGGACAGCAAAAAAAAACTTCCCTGGTATCTTTTGTACATGCCATCTTTTTCTGTCAAAATCTTGCCTGGGCTTGAAAACCATAACTCTACACTCTACAACTAATCAGAAATCGAATCTAAAAATCAAACGTGTCCCGCTTTAATCACTACATCTCCTCATCCCAGTAATGGTCACTGATTCCTTGATTACCAGCACATGTGGACTGGCCTATAAATAAAGGTCCCTTCTGTCTCTCCTTTTCTTCCTCCCACCAAATGTTTTATTTTCTGTTTATTTCCTTCACCACATACTGCACCACCTACTCACACATGCCACTGAAAGAGCAAGCAGCACACTTTACACACACTGCAAACACCCCCTTTCCCTTTGTGTTTACGGGTACATCTGAATCATTCAATGAAATAGTTATCTTATGTCACTATAAGGTATTCAGTCCTGTTGTGGCTTTACCTGCCAGTCATAACTGGACGTAGTTTAAAAAAAAACGTGACTGCAGGATGGTTATTTCTATTCCCAATGATACACCATTGTGTTTTTTTCCTTTTCTCTAATGAAGAGTCTTTCCTCCTACATATTTGCTGAAAGCAGTCATTTTCCATGATGCATCCCTCCCACTCTCTTTTTCTCTTAGTGTAACTCTTCCTCACACATGCACACAAACAAAACCACACAGGCCCCCCCACCATCCATCCAATCCTCCATCTTGCTCCACAAAAATGGACTGCATGGGCCAGCTTTCTCAGCCCCCACTCCGCTTCATTGTGGTGGCTGCCCTCCTTCTTGTGAGCCTGCAGTGATCTGCTGGATATTCCCTTAATCTATGGCTCTTACATAATCTGCAGCAACATCGTTCACAGAGCCACTGGCTGTCTCCTCGTGTCACTCTGTGGTTATCACACAGTTACAGGGCAGAATAGAGGACTGGGAGAGAGGGATGGATGGATGGATAAGACATGATCGTATAGAGTGATGAGGGAATTGTATGGATGTGTGGGCATCCTTTGCTGCAGATTACGTGTGTGCATATATACGAGCCTTTGGTATATTGGTGTGAGTGTGTCCTGCAGATTATGTGTGGACCTGTGCTCGTTTTGTACTGTGAGGACAAGCGTGGCTAAAGTGGAGATAACTGGGTTTCAGTGTGCATGTTTGGACAGCGCATACAAGGAAAAAGAGGGTGAGAGAGGCAAAAGAGGGGTTGTCAAAAGAAGTGTGTGTGCGTAAGAGAGTGTGTGTAGAGGGTTCACATGGAGAGCACAGCAAGGGGTTGGAGAAAGGGCTGCAAAAGAGGGAAATTGTTACATGCTGGTGCCGTTTTGTGTGTGTTGAAGAGGAAAGATAAAAGAGATATGGATGAGATGTAAGCGAGAGTATGACTTTCTTTGGCAGGAGACAAAGGATGAACGAAAGATTGTATATAGTGTGGATTGTTTACATTGCACAGGCTGCATTTGTGACTGCAAATAAGCAAAAGTTTGAACAGGAGAAGAAAGATATATTGTAGGCTTATAGCAAATCAAAAAGTGGAAAAGAAAACGAGATACCAGGCACACACCAGGCAATACCAAACACAATTTCATACACCACTCTATCGAGGCATTAGTGCAATGTTATATTATGTTTCAACCTTCACAATACTAACCAGTATAACCAATTGGCTTTAGAGCAAAAGCACTGGAAGTACACCTGTGCACAATATATGTTATTTCATCACCAGTTTGTATTATAATAACCCATTTCTACCATTCCGTATGCTAACACAGAACATTAAAATGGAAATGGTTACATAAAGGCAAAGACTGATTCAGACAGCAGAAAAGACAAAGAGACAGCCAGGTGAAGAAACAATGAAAAGGTTAACAAGATATAACAACTACAAATAAATAATGCAAAGATGAAAGGCATGATAAGTATAAAAGTACCAAATACAGATGAAAGTTACAGAAAGATTATACATTATCTAATATTTTGGGTAACACGTTGCACCCAATAGACACACACTGCCTGTGTAACCGCTCCCTATCTACTCAGAGTCAGGACTCAACAGAATAACTGACAAGTCATGCACATGATATTTGAATGTGTATACTTATTGTGACAGACGAACGTCTTTAAGCTAGTGCAGCATGACCTTGCATGATGCAACTTTCTGAAACTGTAAACAAATAAAGTAAGCGTTCAAGTCAGCCACATGCAACTCATCCACATAAATGGAACTGTTCTCTATGAATTAGCGGGGATTAACACATTCTGATAAACAAAGCTACAGTGGTTACATAACCATACCAGTGGTACGTCATTGATGTGTTACTGGTGTGTTTGTCGTCATCAAAGTGACCTAAATTAAACTCCATATGCATTTTCCAAATTAGACGTTATTTTGGGAAACCTTACATGGACAAAAAACATGTTTGACAAAGTCCAATAAGGGGAATGGTTCAAATGAAGTACTGACCTTACATTCACAAACGTTCAGCAAATGGACTTCAAAGTTCTGAGGACAGTAATGTTATTTAGCTCCTCAATTTGGATTTGTGAGAGAAAAGACAGAAGTGTGGTGGAGCGAGAGGTGGAGTGGTTTGATGAGGAGATGTAGAGGCATGTAATGAGGCCAAGTGAAGCCCTCTTCCTGTGAGTGCAGCATCAGCTCTGATCATCATTTATCATAGCAACCCTGTGCAACTCGTAAGGTCTGTATCTGTATACAGCATCAGTAATCTCACTGCTGTGTGTAACCTACATGTCTAAGTGAAACAAGTAACACTTTAATCGGTACAGCTTTAAGACTTGAATCATGTTTCCATCCGATCTGCCATCCTCTGACTGATGAACACATTACATGGAGCATGGATATTAGTAACTTTTGCATTTTCTCGACAACTAAATATACGGTAAACCTGTACGTTCACACAGGTTTGAACTTAAAGGTCCCCTATTATACTGTTTTTCGTCAATATATTATAGGTCTTAGATATATACAAAACATGTCTCTGAAGTGTTTTGCTCAAAACACCAAACAAATCACCCATTGTAGCATCCCATAATCCCCTCTGTTTCTGCCCTGTTTCAAAAGTGCTGATTCTCTGTCTGTTACTTTAGAGGAAAATAAGGAGCCACTCCCCACGCCCCTCTGAGAGATATTTGGTTAAAAAGAACACCATGGTGCTCTACGTGGAGATTCATGTGATAAGGTGAGCGGGGGTTACCTTGGTTGGTTATTGGCTAATGGTTACACAAGCCAAAAAATCGTTATGACATCATAAAGTGGCCAAAATCTGATCAGCTCATTTTCTAACAGGTTTTTATATAAATGGATCAGGACAAAAAGTGAGCGAATCTTTTTTCCTGAAACTTTCAGAATCTCCTTACACAGAGGAGACACATGTTTATGTATAAAATACATCCTCGATTTTGCATAATAGATGACCTTTAAGAACTGATTTTTTTCAAAGCATGTAAACAAAGCAAGTGTGAAACAGAGGGGTAGACTTACTGAGGAAAGATCTCCGTCAATCCCCGTGGCTGAGGTCGGTGTAGCTGCTGCAGCCGCTGCCTCCTGGGCCGCCACCTTCATGGCTGCTGCCTTCCTCAACTCTCGGTTAGCTTGCAGGGTGGAGAAGTAATTCACGGCTGCAAACTCAATCAGGGCGGAGAATACAAAGGCGAAACAAACGGCAATGAACCAATCCATGGCTGTGGCGTAAGAAACTTTAGGGAGGGAGTGTCGAGCGCTGATACTGAGCGTTGTCATGGTGAGGACCGTGGTGATACCTGGAGACAAAAAGGAGACGGGAGTTAGGAATCTCACATGTTATCTCAAGTCAAAGTCAAAAGTCAAAGTCAACTTTATTGTCAATCTTTCAGTCGAAATGCTGTTTCCCACAATCACCAAATACAAAAATACAAATATATGTAAAAATATGTATAGAAATATGTATATCCTATATATACACAATCAACAGACACATTTCTACATATGCACATATTAAGACATAAATAAAAGCACAACAATCAATATTATCTGACCATAGTACTGGGATAAATTGGTTTGTATTTAGTCACTGCTTTGGTATACCATAGCAGTAAGGAACCTAAAGAATTGGAATCATCAGACATATTTGGAAATGCTTTTATTTACTTTGTCTGTAGAGAGCTAGATGATAAAATCAATACCACTCACATGTCTGTGAGAAGAGCCAGAAGGCAGTAAGCCTTGTTTTGGATAAAAACTGAAAGCACAGGGAAAAAGGCTTGCCTTTCTCTTTCCAACTTTCAAAATATGCTTGCTTTACAAACTTCTGCAATGTTCACAAATGCATAACTAAATTAGGTTTTTTAATCTGCACACACACTCTAAGAAGTCACCTCGCTTATCCACTGTTCGCCCACAAATAGTAACTTCAGCTTTATAGTTATTTTATGCAAATTAGTATGCTTGCTTTTTCTTGTGTAAATGCAACACTAAAGATAACAGCCTCCTGGCTCTAGCTTCAAACATAGCATACAAACATCAGAAAGACATTGATATCGTAAACTCTCAGTAAATATGTACCTTTTTTAAATGGCCCAATCAAGCACTTGGGTACTTGGGTACAATTAAATCTAGTTTTTCGGGGCGGGGAGCTTTGCTGCTGGTCCCCCTTGTTTAAGCCAATATTAGTATTATTCCTATGAAGAGATCTACCTTCCCATGTTTTAAAATAAACCAAACTTTGCACAGGTTACATATTTTGCTAAACGTCTAACAGTCCAGAGGGCAATACAGCAACTGTCCCAGAATTTGAACTTTAAGATTTCATAAAACATATATTTGTCATATAGTGTATGCTAGCACTATTTCAGCAAGATGCAGTCCCATGTAAGTGAAACTGTTTAGGTGCTTTGAGCTGGCAGAGATTATCGAGTCCATCACCCTGTGTGTTTGTTTGTTTGTTTGTTTTTCTTTTGTTTTTATGCTGCCCTGTGCTTTACAGTAGCTATAATTTAGTCTTTAGTCTTCAAGTCTAATTGTGTTTATTATCTATTTTTCACTGGGTGATCCATTTGACCAATGCCTGGAAATGTGTATTAATGAATAACAGTGTCGAGGCTTGATTATAAGAGACCATTGCAATCAGCTTGATTTGGACAGACTGAACACACACACACACACACACACACACACACACACACACACACACACACACACACACACACACACACACACACACACACACACACACACACACACACACATACACACACACACACACACACACACACACAGGAAACAATTGTGATGTCACACTACATACTGGAATTAAATGTGAAGATGAATATCCACCAGTCAGTCTAGCTTTTGCTTTTGCTTTATTTAAATCAATAGTCAATTCCATCAGGACTTCTCACCAAAACAGTTCTATTATTTGAGCGGCAAACGGAGCAGCAGAGTTTCTTTTGAAAGATTCATTTTGACTCTCTTTGCTAAATATACTATCTGGCATTTAACATCTGTGATCTGTTTAGCATTGCAAAGACGACAGTTGCAGCACTCGTGGCTTTGATGATTCAAAATGACTTCCTACCGAGATCTTAGGATGTACGGTGGTGAATCATAGATGTTGATAAATGTAATAATTAAATTGCTACAGACAGTAAATAATGTGCAAAAATTGAGATGTTACAACATGTTGCACTGTGTTTAAATCAACTATTAATATTATTGACATTTTAAACATCCATGAACGCTACAAACGAATTGAAATCAAAAGCAGTTAATTAATCAATGTTTAATCCCACGAACAAGAGGATGTCGAAATAAATCGGCTTTTTTTATTACGTAACACAACATATGTGTATAGCCTTCAGCTTTTTATAAAAATAGTAACATGAAAGCATTACATTATATTATATATTACAAATAATAATGAACTCACAATTGATTTGCCCAAGTATAACTCTGACACATAGCGGCACCAATACAAGATGGCATATAACAGAAAGGTCAGGCCATGTGACATTTCAGGCCAGCAGGCTTTGCTAAAAAGTCCTCTCTCCAGACACTAATCTGTCAATAAGCAGACTGACCCATGCCCCGCACTACCACACCAATAAGGGCATCCAAATATCTGGAAGCACTTTAGAAAAAGCGATTCAAGAAGATGACCCAGACAGAAGCCAGATATAATTTGCTTATATCTGTTTATATTGCAAACTATGGATAATATAATGGAACAACTTTTAAAGAAAACAAATAAATGCATAAATGGTTAATGTGGGAGAGTGAAAAGAACATCGTTGTCGGATGTCTTTCTTGGGATTGCACTAGACTTTCCAAGTCTGTCAAAAGTTGTTCTTAACTTCTAACCACGGCCCAGATTGAAGTACAGACGGCAAAGATCACTTTGATCACAGCCTCAAAGTATAAAACAGAAAGAAAAAAACACTGTGTACTCCGAGGCCATTCATAAATACTCTTGATTACATAATAATATATTTTAAATATCTGTGGCAGAGGCTATTGTGTTAGTGTTAGACAAAACACACTAACACAAATAGATATAGAGTGTAATGTCGCCTATAAAAAACACTGGAAAGGGATTTCCTCTGACTTACACAGACTCCAACCTTATTAAGTCAGATAAAGATGCTGACAATGAACATCTCTTTTAATGGCCCATTTACAAAGTACATATCTAATTCACTTTCATCAAGCTAAAGCAAGCAGGGAAAAGGGGCCATTGAACACTCCCTTCCGTGCTTTTACCAAATGTGCAGTGTAGTTGTGCACATTTCATTAGCAGCACAGGGAATTATGGGGGATGTAATGCACTTAATAATGTCTCAATGGCATTTTCTACACAACACTTTTGAAGTGAAAGCTAACAGCTCTGGAGTGCAACTTCCTCCTATAGCCAGCCAGCATTGACTGTCAATAGCTCAAGCACAAGTTAAATGATTGCAAAGGGGAGGAGGGACATGGGAAGAAAGCCTGTCAGGGTAGGAGGGAGAGGATAGAGAAAGACATAAAGAAAAAGTGTAGGAGGGAGAGGGATGACGTATAAAGACAGGATAGAAATGAAGTGCTTTGTGCATTTATGTGCTTTTATATGAAAAAAGCAAGGTACAAATTAGGCCACACTCAATTAAGTATGTGAGACTTGTGCTCAAGGGACTTTGAGCTCTTAGAGAGGTTGTTGACAATCCGGCACAGAATATACTATGACTTAATGTACTCTCAGAGTGGAGCACATCCACATAGCATTTCATATCCTCTTCTTTACTTCCTCTCTTAAACCTCACATCGACAGCATTTATTTCACTTAATAATGGCTTTGTTTAACATATATGACTCCAAGAGCTCTTAATTTAGTAAACAGACTTTGAGTTTGAAGATATAGCGTGACCTTTTCCTTTCAGTAAACAATACCCAACATATATCATTTCTTCTATACAACTTATTCTACCCAGCATGCCGTGGGTCTGCCCAGAGCTCTTTTTTAACAGCATAGAATCCAGAGAATGAGCATTTATTGTATCCTTTTTTATAGTGAGTGAAATGGAAACAGCAGGACGATTGAGGTTAATGAGTTACCACAGATGTGCTTTCCGCATGGGGCCTCGACTTCCACACTAACACTAATGATTTGGATCTATTCTGAATAAGTGCGCAGGCTCGTGGGAGAGCTGGCTTTCTTCCAAAGACAGGCACAAACTACACAACCGTGATCTACAACGGCCAAAAGTGTTAGTCTGCTCAGCAACAGCTTGTTGGAAATGAGAGTAAGGGGAAATAGAATTCCAAAGAAGATGACCTTCTTCTAGTGATTTTTCTCTTTGCTTTGTCTCTGTCTTTGTGTCCCTCTCATTCCTCCCAGTCTTACTTTCTCTGTCTCTCTTCAGTGTCTCTTACCCTCTCTGCTCCTGAGGCTAGAGCTTGGTGGCAACTGTAGCGTAATGTAATGTGACCAAGCGGAACCTGTGAGTGCTCGGAAAAGGGTCGAGTACAAATCCTCCCTCTCTCGTCCATTGCGTGGCACATTTTCAAAAGGACATTTAATAGAGATAGAGCTAACGAAGAAAGGTTAAAACATACTGTGGTGACTGTGTATATGTTTGTTCTCTTTAGGAAGGTTTTATTTTTGAAGGGACACTCTGTGCAGTACAAACTAATCAGAGCACAGTAAATTTGGAAAAGTACACTTGCTTAAAGTTTGCAGAGCGAGACTCCATCTGGGGTCAAGCAGTGGGTGGTGGGTCAATACATTCCCATTTGAGTTTTAGATACTTGAAGAAAATGAAGTTGACTTTTGAGAACTGAAAACTTAACATAAAGGCTTGCAACATTTAAAAAAAAGACTCAATACCACAACCTGAAGTATTTCAAACTGTTTTTACAAGTCATAGTACATTTCTTGCCAGCAAAAATAAAAATGCTCTTGAATCTTCCAAATGATTCCTTGCCAGCAGGAAAGCAATTTAGGCATTTGTTCTTTTTTGTCCCTTTTCCCCTTGAAATGTACATCAGGTTTTATTCAGAATATTAATTTTAAAGGAAACTTACCAAACACAGTCCGAGCTGGAACGGATTCCTTATTAATCCAGAAAGACACTTGGGCCAGGATGACAGTCATAATACAGGGAATGTAAGTCTGAATCAGGAAGAATCCCATTTTCCTTTGCAGGTGGAAGTGGACTGTCATGATGACATATTCACCTGAGAGAGAAAACAGCAAAGATGTTTGTGATTTCAGTGGCATATCAGTAACTCATAGACATAGACACCCATCTTTTTAGGTTACATTAGAAAACAAGTATTTAAGTAATGCACAATGCAAAATATTAACCCAGTGAAAACTTAAAGAAAGTATGTATGTCAAAAAATGACCTTACACCAATTTAAGAATCCTCCTCACCTGTGTTGGACTTTAGCCTCTCGCTTGACACTGTCTGGCCGATGAGGTCGTACTGGAGCAGACTGGAGGATTCCTCGGGCACTTCCACAGAGGACTGAGGGCCCTTCTTCCAAGTGTACACAATCTCGCTGATGGGGTAAGCATCTAGACAGGGAAATGAAGAACTTTGTTAAAACATAGACATTCACCATTATATACAGTTATTCTTATTAAATAGTTTAGGACACAAAGTGACAAAACCGTTTATTGCCTCCTAGTTTCTGGCTTTCAAAACATTCCTGATTGTTTGTATTCTCAAAAATAATAAATAAAATAAGCATATAAATGAATAAACCTGAAAAAAATAACTTCCATATACGAAATGCCTGACCAAAATACTGAAACATTACTCCTTGAGCCAATAAAAGCAGCAACGAGTTGTGTTTTTGCTGATTGTCTTGTTTTAGATCACCAAATGTAACGGATAGGAAATCTTGAATACATGCTGTCAGACAGTGAGTAACTCAGTGACAGAGGGATCATTTGCGAGTGACACCATATGTCATTCCAGTGAGGTTTTAAAAAAAAAACTCACAACTCCCAAACTTGAGCGGGCAGGCATGGCCATCCATCGGGAAGTTCATCAGACGCATGGGACACTCTGCATTTATAGTTAATCTGTCAGAATAGAGAAGAGTTGAAAGAAGTGTTTGATTTATATTTGATACAGTGTTACTTGCCAAGTAATGATCACTGTTTTAAGATGGATCCAGTCATTATGCTGCAGTATTTGATTTGAAGTAGGTGTATGAATTCTGCCCTATTAAAAGGTCATAAAACCTTTAACTGTACATCTCCCGAAAGTAACTAATGACACAATGGATTTAATAAAGTCCTCGTAATTAATTATTCAGTGTTTTAAAGTAAATTTGACCTACTTAAATAATCGAATTCTTTCAAAATAAATGTTTTTGTGCCATCAGTAACTCAACAGGGATTTTTTGTTTATGCTACATCAGAACAAAGCTGGAGTCATGTTTGTTTGAATTGCTTTCCAGGCCTGTTTTCATAATCAGATGGCACATATCTTGTTTTTTGGAATGGCGCTCTTAATTTCTTTTCATGTCTGTGCATATTCTTGGATGGTTGTTTGTTTGATTAGCTTTCAAGGTCTGTGCTCTATTCCGGTCTTGGCTTGGTTTGGAGCTCACTGTCCAGCACTGTTACCTCATGGTGTAGAGGATAGTTCCGTTCTGCATGATGCGAAACAGCTTGTTGGGGGTGGTCATGTTGTGAGAGATGGACCTCTTGCCATTCCGGAAAAAAGTGTCCGGCGTCCAGATCTTGCTGACCATCAGGTTGTTGAGCCGCATGATCTCAATGGGGCCCTCGAATTTCAGTCGTTCGTCGATCCATGACTGACGGAAGAACACGTCCATGGTGTATTCCTGGATGGAGGTTGGAGTGTGGGTTAAGGATGTATTTACTACCAATCATTCTGCTGATGCTGTTCTGCTCCTGCCACTACTATCTCCACTACCCCCGGAGAGGATGGCAGATGGTTTTGTGAGCAATGGTTTCTGTTGGACCTGCTGGATGCAGTACTGGCAATGTAGTCAGTTGTTGTTGTTTTTTCCTTTCTGGGCTATTCTACTATTGCTGCCAGCGAGTACTAATCAAATTAAAAACACAGATTTGCACTCATTTTACAATCAAGACATTAATCTTTCGTTGATTCTTTATAGCAAGTTTAAATTTGATTTGTAGTCTTGGACATAGAGAAATGTTCTCTTAAGATAACACTTAAATATGTTTCTGTATATTAAATTCCTTCGAAATATTTAGCAACGCAAGAGATAATAAGACATGAAATGATTAACTTAATGGTGCCTTTATTGGATTTTCTATGGACTGCCACGTATAAAGATGAAGTAAATATAGTTAACTCTATTAAGAGTCAGCACAGAGGATAGGATGCTTTTACTGTAGTTCAAAACGTTGGCCTTGCTGCCCTGAATAGCCTCTTATATGCATCTCTATAGAACTGCAACCAACATATCACATGGCAAATCAAGGGGGCTTTATATGCAGTGAAAGCCTAAAGCTTGAAACGTGTAGAGCAAAACTGACATACAGCGCTTAGCCTATCCCATGACAGAAGTAGCTAACCTATCCCGTCCCAACATCAGCCACATCTCTCTCTCTCTCTCCCGCTCTCAGACGGGGGGATTGTCAAACAGATTAAAATCCTAAGCTGCACTAATGACATCCTGCCCAAATGCTGTAATAATCAAGGCTAGGCTAGCTGAGCCATGATGAGATGCTATATGCTGAGAGTTACCGGGAAAAATGTACATATTATTTTTTGTGTTCTTACATTGACATGGTCTTTGTTGTGTATGACAGCCATTGAATTGGCCTGTGCACCCTTTATCTGTTTGTTTCAGCCGTAGTTAGTTTACATACCATCTCAACATCTGAAACCGGTCCAAAGCTGGTGACAAAAATGTCAGTTTTGACCTCTGTGACTGGACCTACAACACAAGGATAAGTAGTTGCTTTCAAACAGTCATAAACAATAACTTTAGATTAGACATTTTCAAGTATAGTATACACACAGTATAAAGCAGTACAAAATAAAGCTATATTAACTGTGTAGTTATGCATAAAGCAACATTGTATGTGAAACTTAAAAATAACATGGAAATGGTTCTTAATTAATTGCCAAACTCAGTTTCCAGTTGTTAGGTGACAATTTTTGTAGTTGTTTTAAAGTTATATAAATGAAAATGAATTGCAATTTTTAACCACTACAGTACAGCAGCTAAATACAAACGAGGCACCTAACTACTGCAGTATAACTTTATATTTTGAGAAAAGGAACTTCGATTGAATATTTTTTAAGGAAACATCGTATGAAATACAATATCACACGGTCATTAACATACCTCCAAATCCGGGTCGCAGCCTGTTGTCATAGCCATCCAGTAATCTATCCAATATGCGCGTGATGTTATCCAAATAAATATTGGTATCAGCGGGCTTATTTCCCCAGACACTGCTCACACTGTAACTAAAGTACATATGCAGTTATGAAAGATAATTACAACAAATAATAAAACAGTTGAAAATACAGAGTTTCTCAAATGCACATGTATCCACAGTCTTTGGTTCCCGTGCGTAAAAGTCCGAACATGCAGAGAAAAGAGTTGCCATACTCACCAAGACAGAAACAAGCAAGTTAAAAGGAAAGCCATGCCTCGCAAACAGCCCACAACTAGGAATCCCTGGTCAACTTTTAAAATCAGCATCTTCCATCATTTAAAATCATGATTAAACGCGGGTCAGGTCTTCTTTTAGTTGTGAACCGTGCGAGGATATCGCGCCAGTCCCGCACGACTTTCCCTCTAGTGCGGTTGCGCCCGCCTCAGAATCGCTCAGTTGGAAAAACCTGAAGAGTTTTTAAGAGAGTGAATAGGAGGAACGAGGGGGGCATTTACATTAACGGAACAATGCATTTTACAAGACATACACTGTTCTTAAGTGAAACTTAGATATCCAGAAAATGTTTCTGGTTGGTGGAGATAATGACGGATACTGTGCCTGTGATTAAGGAGATTGTGGAGAAAATTGCGATGGAGAGAAAAAGAGAGGGAGGGAGGGAGGGAGGGAGAAGTAGAGGAAGAGAGCATGCATACATATATTGCTATCATATCAATGAACAGTTTACCCAGTGACCTTTTCAATGCAGTATTATTTTTAAATATAATTTTGCCACTCCCTTCTCAGCTTTTGTAACTACTGTGTGTGTGTGTGTGTGTGTGTGTGTGTGTGTGTGTGTGTGTGTGTGTGTGTGTGTGTGTGTGTGTGTGTGTGTGTGTGTGTGTGTGTGTGTGTGTGTGTGTGTGTGTGTGTGTGTGTGTGTGTGTGTGTGTGTGTGTGTGTGTCCATGCAGAGAAAGAAAATTGCTAGATATAAAGCATGATGAACTGTGATTCATATAGGGGTAGAGTAGGTGGTAGATACTCACAATACGTAAGTATGTCTGCTTCAATGCAACTCTGACGTGAGTTTATTCCTGTTGCAAAAACACAATTTGTCATATTTGGTTGTGCTCAGTAAAGTTGAGTTTTCAGTGGCACATCCAGCACTGTGCAGACCCATCATCTGGCCAAGTGCAGAAGTTGAAGTTGTCACATTTTTACAGTTTAAAATTGCCCCAGTGGTACATTCAATGTATTGATCTTTAGATCTTAGGGTTGGTGAAAAACTGAGTTTTGTGCTGTGTGGGAGGAATCTTTTGACTGCACTAAATTACATGCTAATTATAACCCTTGCACTGCACATAACTGATCTAAAACTAATAAACCCTTTAAATAAAATAATAAAACATTCCTTTAATAGAAAAAAATATCCAATGTTTTATTGTGTTCCAATGCCTTCCCTGCGTTGTGTCTCCATTCATCAATGAGCTAGAATAAATAATTTGAGCACAGCATTACTTTTTTATCATGAGTGGTATCATAGTCATGTTATCAATAATTCATGTGAGCAGAGAAACATATAGGATATTTTTCTGACAGCATTAACATGTGGAGTCTGATTACGTAACATAATCCTTCAACTCTGGGCTCTTTGTACTCAAAACACAAGTTATATAATAAACTCAAAATATGATTTAGATCATATGCACACAACAATGGATCACTCTCAGATCAAGCACATCCAGTGTTAGGCTTTTTAAAGATTAGACATTACTGATGGAATGATCCTCTTTTTTTAACGGAAAACCTCTGGTGAGTACGGGTAGATTTAGCTTGTATACTCATATTAAAGCTAGAAGGCTCAGTAGGATTTCAAGTTTACATTAGGTTACTGGAATTAGCGTTTCCGTACATTACATATAAGCAGAGAGTGTACATGTTTTTCCAGAGAAGTCGCAGTGAAACAGCTTCATGTGGTGCAAGAGGTTGTTTGGTATGGTCGGTTGTTCAGGGAATAATATGTACCCTTGCTGGGTGTATTGGGGCTAACCCGAAAACCTTTAGTTGTATTTTTCCTTGTATCCTCTGCAACCCATCATCTAGAGAGTTGTGGCAATAGAAGAAAAAGCATTATTAGGAGTAGAAAAAGCAGAATAGCATGAATGGTAAACATAGAAGAAGCAAGGTGCAAGAGAACCGGTAGTCATATGTATTCATACTGGAGAAGTAACAGTTGTAGTTGCAATGGAGAATGAATCTTGTATGATTTGTGACCAAGTTGCATTTCAGTTACTCTGTTGGCTTGCTGGTAGAAAAAGTAATCTGACCCTAATGCCTTGATCAACTTGATCTGAGGTCAGCTCATCTGACCAACCACAGCGCACTGCCCATGAAAGGCTTTCTGACCTGATTCATTCTGCTGCCACTAGATGAGGTTGTGGATGAGCCTGGACAAGAGTGAACTTATTCTTTGCCTCAATCGTGCAAATTTGCTTAGCATGCTATGCAGTGGCTTCTAACATCACAAGCTAGCAGAGACCCATGTGTATAGTGTACACACACACACCCACGTGACACGGACAAGAATCATTGCTCTTTAATCCACCTCTATTGCTAGCATCTTTACAAATCATGTGGATACACCCAAGCGGTCATTTATAATCTCTGCTTTTCAGGCATGCCACATATATAACAATTGCATGCTGTGTTCACAAATAATTAGCACATGCATTCAGTAGAAACTAAAAGGGTTCTGCAACCAAGCAATATTCTTTAGATTAGAGATGATTGCCATGGCCTCAATCAACTTTCGTATATAAGTGCACTCTCGTGTATTTGTGTGGTGATTATTTTCCTTACTATGCAGGCTTGATGGCTGGTTGATGGTCTGACTGGCCGGCTAAATGGCCGATTGATAGAAGGGTGTACTGAGACACTATATGCATCTCGTAAATGGCCGGAAGACTGACTGACTTAGAGACAGCTATTAAAATGTAATGCCTGTCTTCCTGACTGGATCACTGTCTTCCTGGACACGAAGTCTTGAGGCAAGTGTGCTCCGTCAGGCACCCAGCCAGAAACATAAGTGCTTCAGAGTAGAGAAGCAGATGGTTGGACTGGATAAATTAGGAGCGGTATAAATGCAGTTCATTATATGAAACAGATATTAATCCTCCTAACTGAAAGTCAGTATAGCTTATAATAAGCCCAGGTGAATCATTTGACAATCATCATTTGATAGCAAGCCTCTCTGACATCTCATTCTCTAATCCGTAGGGCCAAAATTATACCTCTCAGTAATTGGTCATTAGTTTTTAAAGCGTGTGTCAAGTGAACAGTGTTCAATAGTACAAGGTGCTTTATGTAATAGAAAATATTTCCACAAAATATAATCACTGTTTCATGCATTAAAATTAGGTGTGAATTAAGATGAAAAAGGCACAGTGATTATGATGGATTGCAATTACGTATGCTTCATTCCTTGAGAACAATACACCTCATTTGCCAGGGTGGGTAGCAATTCAATTATGTCAGTTTAGGGAATACAATTACTTCGGCAAGATAAGGAGACATACTTCCAAATCCAACGTGTTTTGAAGGAGAACAGAAAAGCCTTCAGTAGGAGTTTGTTAATTAGTTCATTATTCTACAAAATAGGATTTAATTAAACATGTCATATGTAGGCTACTCTGTGTTTGATTCCCCATAACACGCTGTGTGGTGCAGAGCTTGCATATTATTGAAAGTAACTTTTCAAAACTTGCTGACCTTTTTAAAGGAAGAAGAGCTCTCACATAGCAACACTTGAAAGGTTTTTTGGCTAAGCTGTTTGTTCAGTGCTCGTTATTCAAGTCCTTCAAATGTTGTACAAATGGATGACAAGGGAAGAACTCTTTTGCTAAAGATCTGAATATTTTCAATGCCTCATTGTACTTTCAGCAATACGGGCAGTTCAAACATCCAACTTATCATTATTATAACACTGAAGTACTACACACAATGACAGTTAAAAGTCACTACTGAGGTACTAGTACTTTGTGGCGCACAGTACCTCTTACACGCTATGGCACTTCATTGCTTGTTATTACCCAAAACAGTGCATTGTCTAAACTCATTTCTGGCCACACCACACACAGTGCTTCTATAAATAAGCAATGGCTCCCACGTGAGATGGACCCACTGTACTTCATGAGCCTCACCATGTGGTATCTATGGTAACCACTTACAGTAGAAGAAGCTCAGCATGGGTGGCGAAATGTGTGTGTGTGGGGAGTATTTCTAGACTATTGAGAACTAAATGTGTTCACAAGAAAGGAAAGGTGAAGAATTTCTGGTCATTGCTTCTAAAATTGAATTGAATGAGGGTTAGGGTAAAGTTAGAATGTTGTCCATTCTGTCCATACTTTGAGGTAATAAAGGTTAAGGGTTAGGACTTGATTTGGGGTTATTTTTGGGGTCATGATTAGCTAGTGGTTGAAAGTCAGGGGGTTAGAAAATAAATGATGATGTTTGAGATTCCCACTTAAATGTATAGGTTAGGTTATGTTTTGTAGATGATAGGAGGGTTGGTAAGTGGTCGTATCATTTGCAGTTTGTGTTTGCTGCTTCTGCTTCAGTGAACACCTTCTTTTAATTCAGTGGTTTGAAAACTTTTGGACTCACTTTGGCTATAGCCTGCATCCCTCCCCCATAGCCACACATCCACATCATCTTAAAAGAAACCTCAGACATGATGTGCTGCACCACCTCCAGTGGATTTGACGCTGGGATTTTTTTTTTCACTGCAGTTTCCATGGCGACCAAACCATATCATAGAAAGATAAAATAAATGTTGATTTTGAGAAAATAGTTGTCCTCACTGCCTCGCATGAACTTTCAACTGAGTGCAGCCAAAATACTCCCAATGAACAGCTGCCAACAGCCGGCAGTACAGAGAGAGGAAATAAATGCAGCAATAAAACACAGAAATTCAATTCATGAACTTAATTGCCTCAGGCTTTCTATTTGCTATTGAAATGTAAATGTTATGCATATGATAATTGATCTTTTCTCAAAATGGCTTCTCAACTTGGGGCACATCTTTCTGTAAATGCAATAGTTTATGCTGTATATATATATTTATATATAACTTAAGCAAAAAAAAAACAAAATTGCATATGAAAAAACTGTATATATAAAACACATATTTGACCATTTCTATGGTAACTGATTCTTGTAACTGCAAGAAAATGTAAGAAAACTGTGTTTCCTACTGCCTCAGCTGACCTGTAAACATCAGACAAAAAAGGTATGAACAAGAATTAGCAGAGAAACTTAAGCAGCATTAAACTCGGCCAACAGCCCCCAGTGAATTAAACAAAGACGGTGAAACGCAAGTTTTCAAAAAACAATCACAATGCACTTAAAGATTAGGAGTTTAATTTTTTTTAACTCATACAGTATCAAACATATATATGATTGGGTTTTAAGGTTGGAGATAGATGTGTTCTGCTGAGGGATGTGTTACTTAACCCTCCTATTGTCTTCGTGTTCCCCCCCTTACTTTGGTGTTCGCGGTAAAATTTGACCGGTCCTGTTTAAACTGCTATTACATTAACACAAAAACCATTAATCATC